TATATTTAATGGCAGCTCTTAAATACTCAATTTAATAAACAATTTAGTAATTTTTATATTTTTTTCAGTTTATTATTTTTTTTAAATACTTTTAAATCCATTTATTACATTTAATTCTTATTTCAATTTAGGTTAAATGCTAAATTTGGTCCCTTAACTTTAGTGAGTTGCACATTTTTGGTCCCTTAACAATTTTTTGCACTTTTTGGATCCCTCAACTATACGAAATGCACTCCGTTAGTCCTTCTGTTAGTTTGGGCCGTTAACCCTGCTTAGGTGGCATTTTTTATATTTTTTTTGATGACGTGGATAGTAAAACTTAAAAAAGTGATGATTTGTCTAAAATTTTTGCCATGTCACATGTTACCGGCTGAAAACGCACCAAATCCATCTAAGTGGGTCCCACATCACCACTAAGAATTGTTTCTTTCCCCGTCTGTTGCTGTTTCTATCTAAATGGTGTTCTTTCCAATTTCAAGATTGAAGTTCGACAGAACAAAACCCGTTCCATTTTCAAGATTGAAGTTCGACAGAACAGAAACCCGCAAATACGTTCCACACAGCTCGATTCACTGAGCTCAATTGCTCAAAAATCCCTGCAATTTGAATAATCTCTTGGCAAACAATCATATAACCAAAAAAAAAAATCAATTGCCCAAAAATCCCTCGCAACAACCTGCAATTTGGATAATCTCTTGCAAACAATCATATAAACAAAAAAAAAAAAAGTGGAGCTGGGTTCTGGGTTCAGTGAAACCCAGTGCTGGGTTCGGTGACCAGAGGAAGAAGAGGAAGAAAGAAGGGGAAGGAGAAAAAAGAAAAAGAGAAAGGAAGAAGATGAACGTGAGTTTTTTTATTTTATTTTTTAAAAATATAAATAATAATAATGTAACTTGGAAAAAAATCCACATCAATAGGTTTTTGATTTGTTTTTGCCATGTCATCAAAAAAAAATTATAAAAAATGCCACGTAAGCGAGTTAACGATCGAAATTAACAGAAGGACTAACGGAGTGCATTTCGTATAGTTGAGGGATTAAAAAAGTGCAAAAAATTGTTGAGGGACCAAAAATGTTCATTTCTTAAAGTTAAGGGACCAAATTAAGCATTTAACCTTCAATTTATTCTAATCTATTAACTTTCTAGAAGTAGTTTTATTCCGTTTAATCAAATTGATTTTCAATTATAATTTTTATGAATTTACTGATTGAAATTAATTTTAAAATAAAACTAATTTTGTGAGAATAATAAATTCATTATCACTGTCTAAAAAACTATAACTTTTATCACATGTTGCTTGAGTTTTTCCTTTTGACAATTCTCTTTTGTATAAAAAAACTATAATTATTGATATGTTTTAATAGTTTGCACAATTTGTCATAAACTGCTTTATTGATTGGGAATACTTTGTTTTAATTTTAATTTAACTTTTCGATTATTTTTTGTTAAAACTAATAGAAATTTTATACAGTA